ATACAAACTAGCGTATATTTATTATTATAATTATTTTTAATTTTTAATTTCTTTTTATTGTATAATTTCTTTATTTTTAATAGACAATATTTTTAATAAGTATCAAAATAAATAATTAAAATTTTTAAAATAATTTTTATATTAAATATTATGTTAAATTAATATTTAATTATAATAATTAAATTTTTTAATGTATTAACAGATAAAACATAAATACAAATATAGATATATAAAAAATATTATTGAAACAACTTGTAAAAATTTATTATAATTATTTAAAAATGACATAATATTACACATCTTTTAATAATTTGTACGAAAACATTTTATGAAATAAAAGTAATCTTGTAGATAATCCAACCTGTAATATTGTACGATAACCTTAGGCCTGTGCATATGCATTCTCATGCAATTGACCTTGCAAACTAGGATGGGACCATGCTCAAGAATAATCATTTTAAATGAAGTTAATGAATTTTGGCTTCATCAAATTTAATATGTGATTTAAATGAACTTATCATGTCTATTTTAAAAATAATAACTATAACTTTAAAAATTTTAATAATATATAATTTTACATATACAATTATATTCTATTTTAGAATATACTACAGTTTAATATTTGATTACACAAATCAATATAAATATTAATTTTTATTATTTTAAAAAATTATTTATTTATTTAATTAATATCCTTATATCTTAAACTATTCTTCAAAATACTCTTTAATTTATTATTATTTTTATTTATACTAAATATAATTAAAGAAATAAGAATATAATTAATAAAAATAGTTAATATATTTTAAAACCAATTGAATATCAAATCTTTATTCTATTTTCAATGTTTATGTACCAGCTCAAAATTATGCATATTGTACATAAAATAATTTAAAATATAAATTTTTTCTGAAAAAAAAGAAAAAAATAACAAATATATATATATATACCACCTCAAAAATAATATAAAGCATAAATTTATATTACTTCTAATTCCAAACTTATTTTTATTGAGATCTACAATATGTAAATTATGTACTATAAAACATATATGATAAACTAGTAATTTAATTTAAGTATATAAATTTAAACACGAGATAAAACAACATAATTTATCCAAAGTTTTCATATATCACATCAAGTTCATAAAGACTCACATTCATATGACAATTAATACTAATAACTTTCAGAAAACTATATATTGAATTAAACATTAAAGATTTGTATGTACTTGGGGGATTTAGTTTGGTATATACCCTCACGTGTGACTAGAGTAAATAATGACTTATCAAGACACACTTATTTTTCACACCGTAGGCTAAGTCATTAAAAACCTCATTCAATTCTCACCATCTGATGTTTTCATTTATGTGGTTCTAATTATCAATATAGTCAAGATATTTCCTAGAATCTCTATTGCAGGTAGCATCAATTGTTAGAATCGTGACATTTGGGTTGTTACTCTTAAGTAAAAAGAGTTGCGTTCTAATTAATGACTATAACTTTTGACCTAGTAGTAAGCACTGATCTTAACAATCTCAAATCAATATCTATAATACACCACTACACACATAAGGATATTGGTAATTTTTATATCACAACACAATATTTTTCAAGACATATATATAATAACATTCAACATATATCATTTTATGTTCATATAATATATTTTAATATCTTAAGACATGTATATATATATATATATATATATATATATATATATATATTTTACACATTATAATTTTTTTTTCTAATTTAACCTCTACTTACTATTTTGATCATAATTATTTTTGTAAATATCCTTTTTAACTAATTTTTATTTTATTAGACTCCTTATTTACGGGGTTTTGATTCACAAATATGAAATATTTAATTTGAAGTTTAAAACTATTTTTTATTATTTTTCGAAAATAGATAAACAAATTTGAAAGCGCTAAGCGAATTTCCAAATCCACTATGACAAAATAAAACCTTCAATACTGCCTAAATTTTGTTAGACGAATCTAAAAGTGTTAAACAAAATTTTGACAGAATGGAAACTTATATAGTGCCAAAAATACGTTGGGCGGATATAGAAGCGTTGAACGAAATTTAAGTGTTTTTATCACTGTTTTAAATTCGTTGGACGAATTCGTGACAGTAACAAATTACATATTCTACTAAATACCATGTTTCTAATGTTCAAACTCAAATTAAATCTAAACATTATCTTTCAAATTATAAATCAATTCACTATATTCAATCCAAGAACAATATATTCATACAAAAGACTATCATTTTCAATCTTATAGAAATAAATTAACATTCACATTTTATATAATTATCACAAATAAACAAATATACAATTACACAATCTAATATCCTAAAACTTAATCAATGTAACTAAATAACCTTCACAATTCCAATCTTATAGTTTAGAGTACTATAAAAATTGAAGGATAATTAATTTCTCCTACCTAAAATACAATGTCTTTAAGTTCAATAATCCAAAAATATGTTAAATTTTGTAGAAGATTGATGTTGTTCACAAAACCAAATTCAGCATATTACAATGCTCTTAAAACTAGTTAAGATTTATCTTTTCACAATAAAGTTTACATGCAAATCCTCCAAGATTTATATACGAGACTTAGGATCGACATGCAAACCTAAATAAAAAATATGCAAAAATGATTTAAAATTAAAAAGGAAAAACTTACTCTATTTAAAATTTTTATCTCATATCCTCTAAGAACAATAAGATATTTTGAATTTAAAATAAATACAAAAGAGCAAGAAATTTAGAAAAAAAGAATAAAAAAATAGAGAAATAATGAATTTATGAGAATAAAATTTAAATATTTAAATTCTTTTATTCATAATTTTTTTTTAGTTTAAAGAGTAAAACTTTAAATTTATTATCGTTATATTACTTTTTCCTCTTCAATTAAATTGTATTGTAACAATGTAAGACATTCTTCAAGAGACTAAACCAACCTTTTGTTTCGTCCGTCATGCTATCAATAAATACTAACATGATTCACTATTAATGAATGAAAAATAAAAAATAGAGATAGTAGAAAAGAATTAAAAATATAAAATGTATTAAAATAAATGAAAAATGATATAATATATTTAATTATTCTTTAAATTATTATTATTTTCTTACCTTAAGTAAATATCACAAATTTATCATACAACTATATTTTTATTAATTTTTTTTCATTCATTATCTTCATTTCTTATTTAACCAGTAGTTTATTTCACTTTGGTCTATTAAAAAAGGGTCATTAATTTCATCATCTCTCTTCTTTTGGTTTTTAACTGGTCATTAATTTGTAGCAGATATCAGTATTTTGTCTTATTATAATGGAGGAAGTTAATGCACGCTGCAGAAAACTAGTGACACCTGTAGACTTCAAAACTATGCACCAGCCCTCCACCATAAATTTCTGCTTCAGTGTCCTCCACTTTTCTTATCCATCATTCGTTCACTGCATCCAAAAATTTCATTCACTTTCAACGTCCCATTAGTACAGACAATAAATAAATAAATAAAATGTAAGAAAAAAATAAATGAAAATTTTTTGTTTTTATTTTATATAATTTTATTTTAGAATTTTTATCATCACTAATTTAATTATTTATCACTATATAATAGAAAAAGTAAAAATTATTTATTCAATTTTTTTGCATAATATATAACATGTTGTGTCAGAGACATATTTAAGATAACTTTTGGTGAACACTAAATATATAAGCCAGTTGTCACCATGGTTTTCCTTTCATTTTCAGAACATTGAAGAAAAACAGGACAATGGATTCCGCTTCTATTTCCTTACAAATTAGTCCAAGGAAATCCTGTCATCTACTCCAATTTATCCATCAGAGGATGATATTTTGACATTACGTCCAATTATATTAATAAAATAATATATTATTATATTAATAAAATTAGTTGTAGATTAACGATTCAATTATCAAAGAATCACTTCCGATTTATCCATCCTCAGCTAAGCTAAAGTCCATCATACGTACAAACTTATCATTAATTCAATGTTTCTTGTCGATTGAGGAAAACTATGTAGTCCCAAAAATATAATATTAGATGTCAATATATTCAATTATTGTTTTATGTTTATATTTAATTTATAAAAAAGATTTAATTACTCAAATGAAATTTATTTAGTCGAAAATTAATTATGGACAAAATGGTGTAAGATTCATGAGTTAATTGAAACTAATTTAAATTATTTAAGAATTTAATTTATTTTAATGAATTAGAGTAACTTTTGTTGAATATTTTTATAGAGATTGATATAAGAATGAATTTATGAATGGGATATAGTTAATTTTGTAAGAGAATATACATAATATTCAATTTAAAAAATTTAAACATAACCAGATATTAAGTTTTAAGGAGGTCAATTTAAATAAATAATTTTTAGAGGGTTATAATATTTTTTTTTGATAAATTTTAATTTTTTTTTGGGAGATCATTAAATTAAAAATGAAAAATTAGTCTATAATTTTTATGTTTGGAATAAGTGTATATTTTTCTTTTATAATTATTTATTTATAAATTTATTAAATATAACTTTTTCTATGTTTAAATTCAAAAGAAATGATAATTACTCGGTCAAAACGGTATCAATTCAAGAATAACACAACTAACTCATATTTCAAGTGAATGCTTAATCCAATTTTAATAACACTAATTTTAAATATCCTTATATTTCACACTTAATTTCTTGCCGAGTTTTTTTATTGTTTTTTAGTTAACATGATTCTTCTACTTTTATTTCTTTGCCTTTAGATAATATTCGTATCTTAAAATAATACAACACATCGAGCCCCCAACAGTGATTGAATAAACATGATGCAAGAAAATTGTCTTTTGTTAATACCTAATTGGCCACTGATAAGCACCGGTATTGACGTTTACAGATGTAATTGTCTTTGAAAAAGTAGATACAGACATTTAATACCCTATTATTATATCTGGTCCATACCAACAGTTACTACACATATGCAGTTCCACACACAATTCTGATTCCCATTTCTGATGTAGCTTTCAGCACCACACGCACCGTGCTTCTTGTGGAGGTGTGGTTAGAGATGATAAATGGCTCCTCCATTGCAGCTTTTCTCTTCCATTGGAGACCATTGTACTGTGATTGATGTGGAACTATGGACTTTTCTAATGCCCCTCCATTTATCTTGTGAGCATGAATTAAAAGATATCAGATTCTCACATGCACCTGAGAGAGACTGATGAAGTTTCTAACGCATTGGAAAGGGATGTTTTTTCCATTAATGATAGGTGTAATTACCGTGGGGTACTTATGTAGTTATGGCATGCAGATAAATAATCAATCTAGTAAAGAAAAATATACGTGCCATGCTAATGAAATAAACAATTTTAGTTTTTTTTCACGGCACATTTCAGTTAAAGTACAAGGACTTGTCCATGGATGTCTACGTTCTTTGATCATATTCTGTCTGCATTGGGTTGTTTCGGCGCCAATGACGTGTTTGTCTTGGTTTTCTGTGGCACGTTTTCTCATCGTACTGTCACCACATTCATTTTTAAAATGTGCATGCTGACAACAAAGAGACGTGTAGAACTGAAACTTTTGATGCTGGATGTAAAGGACAGCCTTGTCTTGAAGAAAAGGAGGATTCAGAGATTTCATGGTGCTTTTAGAATATGCGTACTCTGTTCTACAAAAATAAACGTTAAGTTGGTTGGTAATTCAAGATTAAGAATGAGGGTGTGTTTGGCCAACAAAGTAGACATTCATCGGGCATCGACTATTGTATCACATGATTCGTTTCTCATGTTTCCCTAAAATTTAACGTCATTTTCCTCTGTCCGTACGCCTGTTTTCCTCGAACGTATCGATATTGAAAGCATTGATTACAATGCTTCAATTTCGATAACCTACACAGACAATATTAACCCTTTTTACCAATACAATCCAAGATTTCGGATTCATATTCATTTGAAAAATTATTTTTTTTTAAGTAATTTCAATTTGAATATAAAATATAAATTATAAATCCGCTCTTGATTTAATTTGACGTCAAATAAAATTTGCATATTAAAGGAAAGTATAAAAAAAAGTCTGTTTAAATTACTCCAAATATTATCAAGGATTGAAGAATAATGTTTTTTAATTGTTAATGTATTAAATAATATTAGACAACGAATCAGTTTTGTGCTTATCAATCCAAATAATTTTTTATCAGTTTTTTGTGTCCTAACTTAGTGTAACAGTACACATCATTTATCTATATAATGATGTTACGGATAAACAAAAAAGATTTTAATGATTGATTTCTTTTCACATAAAAACATAGTGATTTATATGTGTTTTTTTTTCTGGTCAAACCATATGACGGAAAATATTCTTCTATCCCTAAGCCATTGTTAGGATTTACATGTGTTTTTTATGATGCGTGGTGTTGTGTTCAATAGAAATTTAATATAGTCCTAATTAACTATTGAGCTTAATTGTGCTAAATGAGTTCAAATAACTTTTTTGGTTGAGTAGAACTTTTGCTATTGGTGAAATTTCTAAATTAAGTATTATTGATGAGAAAACTTCTCTCCGAACGTAGGATCTTAATCCGATATAAAGCACAGGTTTAGATTTTTAATTATTTAAATTATGTTACACTAATCTAGAGTGCAATTTGTAGGGATGACAAAACGGGTTAGGCCCAGCGACCCGGAATAATATGACAGGATAAGTTGGTGTTTTACTCATCAACCAGCTTTGGCCCACTCCCTCAAGCCCGTAACCCGCGGGACGGGGCGGACTAGCCCGTGACCCGCCTAATTAATAAAAAAATAATTTTTGATTGTAATAAAATTTATTATAAAGATAATATATAAAGTTAAAAATTTTAAAAAGAGAATTAAAAAAGTTTCATTCTCACATAAAATATTATTCTTACTCAAACATAACATTCTCTCATGTTCTCCTTGTTTATCCTAAGCATCGATTATTTTTATCCGTAATACTTGAATTAAAGGTGTAAGAATTACTCAACCAAGAATAATATGAAGTTTTATCAAATAAAAAAGATATAGGTATTTGAAATTTTCAATATAAAAAATATAAATTTTATAAGTTTAACGTTATATATATATATATATATATATATATATATATTTGTTATTATTTATTATTATGGAAATTTTATTATTGTTCTAAATTATAATTTCTTAAAATAATGTATTGATTTATATTATTAAATTGAAATAATATATATATATATATTGTATTATTGACAAACAAATAATAATCTTATTATTAAATTTATTAAAAAATTTATTTAAAAAACAAATTATTTTTTTCTAAATAATGGCGGGCCAGCCGCCCTTGCAGTGGCGGGCTAAGGTCTACAGCCCGTCATGACTATATTGGGTCAGCCCGCCCCGCCCCGCTTTTAGCGGGCCAAACGCAGGGCGGACCAAAACGGTGCGGGCTGACCCGTTTTGCCATCCCTAGCAATTTATGATATGTAGGATAATCAAAATAACTTTGCTGCATCTTTGAACTTCAAGACTACAACAGAAAGTGGCTTTTGCGACGGTACTTTAGATAGCGGTTAACAAAAATCGCTTTTAGAAATACATATTAGATAACGGTTAGGAATAAAACGCTCTCTAAAGTATGTTTTAATAGCGGTTCAGAAAAAAACCGCTTTCTAAAATAATTTATAATAACAGTTGTGTGATAACCGCTATCTAATGTCATACCTTTGAAGAGCGGTTGATACGTGGAACCACTATCATAACTTTAGATAGCGGTTACTTTGTGGAACCGCTATGATAAGTGTAGTTTAGATAACGGTTATTTGGCGAACTGCTATCTAAAGTCAAACTTTTAAAAACCCTAATCCCCTTTTTTTCAATCTCGCGCTCTCTGTTTCTGTGTTTTTTGACGCTCTCTGCGCTCTCCTTCTCGCTCTCTGCGTCTTCCATTAAACTACAGGTACGTTCTCTCCTTCTCGCTCACTTTGTGCTCTCCCACTTGCTCTGGGTTCTCTCCATTTCTCTCTATGTCTTCAATCTCTCTCATTCTCTTGCTCTCACTACTCAGTTGGGTATTACAACTCCATTTAAGCATATTTGTGTCACGTTCCAGTCTCCATTCGTCATTGTTATTGTAGGACGCGCTTATTGGGAGGTCTACAATATGTTAGTGTATTATATATTTTTTAGGCTTTTATTTGATTTATTATAGTATAATTATTTGAATTAATGTGATATTGGATACAATTTGCACCCCTATTTTGATTATGATACAGTTAGTTAAATTTTAGGGTGAGTGTAAATTAGAAATTATAATTTAAAAGTAATATTTGGATTGGTTAATATCTTAGTTTGGTCTGAATTGTTTATTTTTGCCTACATTGTGATCCTGAAATTGTGTTTTGAAATAGAATATAGGCTGGTTAGGATATATACATGGTTTAGCGTGACCCTGAAATATTTTGTATTAGAGATTATGTATGATGTTTTTGCTGATAGTTTTAGTAATTTTAGATACTTGTTAAATGATATTATTATATATGAACTTGAGTGAACCTTTAATTTCTCATTTGAGTCTCTAAATAATGATTTAGGATCATTATTTTGAAACTCAAATTGTCCCAATTTGGACAGTTTGTAAAAAAAGTTTTCCTTGACCAATAATTATCTAGGTAGTTGATTAAACTGTTATAGTTGATGCATGGTTGAATGAAGTTAATTTTAACAAATTCAAGTTGTGGATTAAGAGACTGATGTGAAATGCTGTCGAAATTTTATTAAGTATACATTGTAATGAACTCAGATGACTGTTGATATTACATAGCTTTGTTCATCGGAGAAGCACTGCAGCATGAACAAACTACTATTCCAGTTAACGTAAGAACCATTTTTGCATTATGACTATGTTTATATGAAAGAATAATGTATTGTTATTATTTATCTAATTTGGAATTTAACTTTTGTGATTCTTTTCTATCTATGTTTACAGTATTTTCCAGAGTCTCGCTTTGCTATCTTTCTGAACCTTAGAATTGAGTAGCTACAAAAGGAATGGTGTGCATATTTCTATCATACATTTTTGAAGGACAAAATCAATACCATAGACTCTTAAGGATTTTTTTAATCATTTCAATTATTTGATGTATATATTCCAATTTTGTTTCATGCAAATTTTAGTTTTAATTTGTCAAATTTTGAATTGTTTTTCTATGATTCTATGAATATATATTGTATGTTGACTGGATTTTGTTGGATTAATTTGATATATACTCTGAAATTGTGGTCTATCAGGTACAAATTATTAGGAATAAATTTTGGATTTTAAAATTTAAATAATTTTTTTTTAAATTTGGACTTTAGATAGCGGTTCCTAGAACCACTATCTAAACATACTAAAAGAGAGCAGTTCTAGAACTAACCGCTATTAAAAGTATATTTTAGATAGCGGTTTTCGTTTTAACCGCTATTATATATGTCATTTTTAAGAGCGGTTCATCATTCCAACCGCTATTATAGATACAACTTTGCATAGCAGTTCCACATTAACCGCTATTATATCTTATTTATGATAGCGGTTCCATGTTAACCAGTATTATATCTTATTTATGATAGCGGTTAGTTAACCTCTATCTACACGTCATTCTTTTATTAGCGTCTTATTTAATAGCGTTTTTAACCGCTATTATAAAACATGCGAAACCGCTATTATATCTCTTTTCTGTTGTAGTAGAGTCCTCGTGAATTTGTGACAATATAAACTTTGCCTTTAATTAATTGACATTTTGAAAAGAACGAGGAACGAATTAAAGATGTATAGTCCATACACTAGTGTGTTGCGATACTTTGTAAACAAATTGAAAAAAAAATTAATTAATTGCGATAAAATTTTAGTTTTCAATACAGTGAAATTTAATGAAAAATGGTTCACTATTCAACTTTTATATTTAATAAAATCTGAAATATTTAAAATAATTTATAAAAATAATAAAGAACTGTAAAAGTAAATGACTGAACAATAAATGTGTAAAAAATTAAATAACATAGAAATAAATCTAACTCATTATTAAAGATAAAACATAAATTAATAGAGAAAATAAAATAAAATGGTAATCTAAATTGCAAAAAAGTTTATTAAAAATATTTTTTTATAGTTCACAACGTTTTTTACAATATAAGTTATACAATTTGAAATAATCTTTTATTACCTTTACTTTATATATATATATATATATATATATATATATATATATATATTTATTTATTTATTGTAACGGTCAAAGTAACCATAAAAATAAAAATTACAAATTAAAATCTTTTAACTGATTCTTCTCTTATAAATGTTTCACCTTATTGATACATATTTACTTGTAATTTGTACGTTCTACGAAATTTGTTTCTTATTCGCCTTCATCAATATTTTGATGCACTAGTGAAAAAAATCCTTTTGTGTAACTTCCTTTCAATATATTCATGTTCATTCTTCCACTCTTTAGATCTTCGATTTCTAATTTTGCAATATATTTTTTTTTTAATTTCTCAATTCTCAATTTGTTGATATTTTGTCTTTTCTCCAAAAACTCAATCCTAAATACTTCTCTACCTCGATACGTCATTCTCGATTTCTGTTTTTACTCTTTCCAACCACTTGAC